AAACACAAATAAAGGCAGTAAGCTCCGTAACATCGGCCTTAATAACTAAAAAAAAAAAAAAAAAAAAAAAAAAAAATAAACCTCAATTAGGAATAATAAAAACATTATTAGAAATTTGGCATTAAAACAAAAAAAAAACATTTCATATTGTTCTTTGTTAAAATTTTTTATATTTGTATTTGTATTTTTTTTTATTTACTACATTTAGATTTATTAAATGCAAATTAATCTACATTTAATAAATCTAAATGTAGTAAATGATAATCGAAATAAAAAAAATATATTTAGTTAGTTAATATTATTGATTTTTTTACTAATTTCTATGAGAAGATCCATTTTAGTTTCTAATGAATCGTTTTCATTATAGATTATTTTAAAATTATCTAATGATTCGTCTATATATTTTTTTTCGTTTTCAAGACTATTATTTTTGATAAAAATTCCAAGCACTTTGTATACACCATCTAATTTTGGTCTTATTTCTAATATTTTGTTTTCAAAGTCTTTTTCTTTCAAAATTTCGTTTTCTTCAATGATTTGTTGATTGTTGTGGTTTATTTTTTCGCATTCTTCTTTTTCTTTTAACAAGAGTTTATTTTCTTCTTTTTTTTTATCGATGAGTTCCTGAAGTTCTTTGATTTTTATTGACGAGAAACTCATTTATATTCTTCACTAATTTTGTTGATTAAAGCTAATTTGTTTCTCAAAGTAGGAAATGCTATTTTTTTGTTAAAGTTTTTTAATACGATATCAGCTTTTTGATCTAATATTTCAATTGTTTTTTGTACTTCGATGTTAATTTTTTTTTCTTTTTCAATTTCTTCCAATGTATTTTTTAAAGATCTTTCTAAAGAATTATATGCATATTCAAGATTTTTCAGGTCTTGGTTAATTTTTTTGTTTTGTTCGTGGTCTTTAATTTTATTTTTACATTGGGAGATTTTATTTTCTAAAATTGTTTTTTCTTTTTTTAGGTTGTTTATTATTTGTTGAATTCTACTTAATTCACTGGAAATAAATGATATTTTATGATTTTAAAATTTTTTATTTTATTTATATATTAATAAATTTATTTTAATTGATTTGTGTAATTTTGTTACATAATGCAATGATTTTTTCCATTTTTTCTTCAATATCGTTTAAAGGGAAAATTACTTCATAATTAAAATTAGCTAATATGATATCTATTTTTCTTTTAAGATAACAACTTTATTTTGTTTTTTTTCATATTCTATTTTTTTTTCGTGATATTTATATTTTAATTGTTCTTGTTCTTTAGTTAACCTTTCGTTTTGATAAATGGCGATTTCATTTTCTTTTTTTAGTTTTTGGTTTGTTTTTAATAATTTATCATACTGACTGTTTTCTAATATTTGATTATTTTCATTTTCTAGTTTTTCATTTTCTTTTTTTAATCGGTTTATTTCATCTTGAATTCATTGTAATTGAGCGGAAATCATTCTTGAATTGTTTTTAGGTTTTTGCTAGCTAAAACGATTTTATCTATTTTATTTTTATCAGAATCAGAAAAGTTGATTTTTAATAAAGTTAAACTAGTATCGATTTTTTTATCTAAATTTTTTATCAATTCTGTTATTTCTTTAATCAATTGTTCATAAATAAATAAAGTTTGATTTCCATATACATCAAGAACTATTTTATCGTTTTTTTCTGTTAATTCTTTATTTTCTTTTAAAAGTTTTTCATTTTCTTCAGTGATTTGTTTACACTTTTCATCGATATTTTGTAAATTATTATTTTCGTCAATAAGGGTTTTATTTTTATTTTTTAGAGTTTCTAATTCATTTATGATTCGGTTTAGTTCATCTGAGATTGATATTTTATTTATTATTTTATATAAATTAACGAATACAATGTTTATTTATATTAATGAACTTTTTTTATTTCTTCACTAACTATAACCACTTTATCTATTTTAGATTCTATTCCGTCGGTTCTTATATATTTTACAATAAAATTATCTAATATAATATTTATTTTTTTATCTAGATCTGTGATGAATTTATCACATTTTTTTACCATCTCTTTTAATACTGTAATTCCCTCTTTCAAATGTTCGTTATCTTGGTTACATTTATCTAATTGTTTTCTCAATTCTTTATTTTCGTTTACGAAGTTTTTATTTAGTTCATTTTCTTTACATTTTTTTAGGTCTTCTTTTAGTTTGTTAATTTCATCTTCGAGTTTTTTATTTTTATCTTGTAAGGTTTTTTTTTCTTTATTACATTTTTTTAGTTCTTGTTTTAATTTATCGTTTGTATTTTTCAATGATTCTTTTTCTTTATTACAATTTTCTAACTGTTGGTTTAGTGTATTATTATCATTGTTTTTATCATTTAATTGTTTTTTTAATTTTTCATTTTCTTCTTTAAGAGCTTTTAAACTGTTTAAAACTCCAGATTGTGGGGTTGATGACATTTATTTTATTTATTTTAATAAAAATTTAACAAAACAATTTATCTTTATTAAATTTATTTATATTTAAAATAAAAATTTAAACTAATTTAATATAATATTTTTCTAAGTTTGTGAAATGTTAGTTTTCTTTTTAACAAGTTTTTTGCTTCTAAAGGTAGGAAGTTCTTCTTCGAATTCTTTACATAATTCAAATAGTTCGTTCATTTTTTGGTCTAAGGTAGCGTTCTTATTATATTCAGTACGTAAAGTATCTAAGCATTTTTCTACTTGTTGTTCAATTTTTTTTAGTTCGGTTTCTAATGTTTCAGAATTATTTTTTTTTAATT